TGTATTCCCAAATATTATTTGTCAAGACCAAATGTTTTCAAACTAATTTTATAAATTGTTTTCTTTTAAAAATGTAGGCTTATTAAGTAAATTTTGTTCGTTTATTAACATTGTAAGCAAGAAAGTCAAACCTCCTTGTTATTTATATTAGCAATTTAATGTAGTAAACACAATTTGTACACATATTAAATATTCTGCTCTCGCATATATGTCAATGTTATAATTGTAATATGTTAATAAGTTAAATAACAACACTAGAGATACTAGAACTGACAATTAGGGGAAACAAGCAGGACAGCAATGCTTTTTAAGGTCAGACGACACGTTCCTAGAAAATATGTAATTTTTTCCCAAGAATTTGTCATTGAAGTTTAACTTCCTAAACAATTTTCCTCACCAAAAATTGAGGTACCTTACCAGGCATTTGGGCAAGATACCAGAGGGCGATATTTCTTATATAATCTTTATGAGTAATCTTTTGAATTGCCAATGTCACAATTTTGGTGTACTTACTTTTTAAACATATTGAAAACAATGTAGAAATCACAAGAGAATGACAATTATGAATAATTTTTGATATAATACCAAGGTATACAAAAATATATTTCAGGAACGTGTCGTCTGACCTGAAATATATATTTTTCGAACAGTAATTAATAGTTGCATATTAATGCTTTTTGCCAATATGTTCTGATATTTAAATTGTGCAATTACAAGACTTACCTTTGAAATACGCTAGTATACTAAGTATTTCTTCACTATCAAAATGTTCCAAAATTTTCAAAATGCAGAACACAATTTAGTGATTCCTACACTCTAAGTGAAACATACATCAATTTAAATGCTCATTAAAATAACATTGCTTTTGAAAATATCTACAGGTGCCTATTCGAAAAATTATATGATAGATATGCATGTATGTTTACTTTTAATGTTTTTACATAATTTATATTGGTGCTAAAAAAATAATACTAAAGATGCAGTTTGATTTCAAATTACTCCTTTATGTGTTAGACTAAAAAATACACATATTTGTTCCAGAAAAGCTATGACTTTTTTGTTCAAGAGACGAATGTTTTGAAAGGTAGCGTCACCAAAGAAAAAGACGTAAGTAGACATTTTCCCTCTCTGATAAATAGTAGAATACATTGTATTTATTCATGTGTATATTAACAACTCTAAGTCGTGACAGATTAATGGAAGAGAAGTCTTGTATTTTCAAGTTCAGCCATTTTTCACTTTCACAAGTAGACTTATTTTTGTCATTTCCACTAAAATCTTTTTCAATTTAATTTTTTAATGGCAATTGTATTCAGCTGTAATTGATTACTTTTCCCCAAGTAATTAGATTTAAACAGTAGTCGTGAAAAATCGGATTAGTTGTTACTTAATTTAATCAATTACAGCTAAGAATATGACTGTTATCATGATTATTTTCTGATTGCTTTTGATAACTTATTCAAAAGTGCATTATGATATTGGAAGATTCTGTATATGTCAATATTTCTTATCATTATATAGTCTATAAATAGCCTCTATATAATCTATACAAACGCAAACAGTTCATAACACTACATATTCACCGGATTTGAAGCCGTATTCACCGGAGGGTCAGTGCGCGTGCAGTGGCATTGTGACGTCACAATCAAGGCCTCAAACAACGTTGAAAACAATGCTTGTGCAACGGTCGGAGCTAGCTGGATATTTGAGCAGGAAAAATTGTTTTGCAAGTCAATGGCAGGATTATTTTTTTTCAACATTTCGATGTCTTACACACAGCGAAAGGAAAACACAGAAGATATAGGTTGTAATCTGGACATTTGATTATTTTTCTACTACAGAAGTTCGTTAATGAAAATGGAATCGTCAGGCATCCTTCAGTGTCTTGTTCATTCAAATTCTGACTATATAATAAAACAATTATGGACTCTTTCGATGGTGAATATGGTTTGTTATTCACCACAAAGATATCAATATTGATATCTTTCTGGTGAATAACAAACCATATTCACCATCGAAAGAGTCCATAATTGTATAATATTTAAAGGCATACCCAATGATTTATCATTTTTAACATGGAATTCAAACCCCCATCCTTCACCCCCTCCCCCACCACTCTCACGACTGATGAAAGTATTAAAATGAAACCCTAACTGGTATGCATTTTCTCTAAATTTCTTTTGCATAAAGATATAAATTGTTTCCTGCTATTATCTTATTTTTTTTTTATTAATTTAACTGTTGATGATAATGATATGTAATCAATCCCACACTGTGTATATATCTATTTAATATGAATTAAAGCTATTTATCTGGTCAAAGTCTAAATAAATATAGTCACATTTCCGATAGCATTGATTGTTATACAAGCAAATAAAATAGCAAACATGCAAATTATGCAGTTCAATAATTTCTGGAAAATACAAAAATTACACCCATTTTCTCAACACGTAGAACATTTAAGCAATTTATCATTCTTAAATGTATTTCAAATGTTTTAATGCATGTAATGGTTTCAAAATTAATGTAATTTAATCAATTACTTTTCAAAGTAATTGACCTTGTGTATGGTCTAGGCTCTAACTCTAAAACCCTTGACTGGAAACTCTAGCATTTTTTATTGCAACATCTCATGTCCAAGTAGAACTTAGTACCAGTGTTTGTGCCCTGGGTTCACTAGTTAGAACCAGTCACGGTAGCCTAGTGGTAGGGAGGCCCGGTTCGATTCTCGTTCGCCGCGCCGCGTCAAACCTAAGACGTAAACATAGGTAGTGACTGTTCCTTCGCCAAGCGCCCGGCATTAGAAAAGTAGAAAGAACTAAAATACTGTACAAGCATAAAAAAACATGCTATTTTCTCCAAATGCCTGGACACCTATATTTTTCTATCCTAAATTATATTTGTTGATCAATTTTCAATTAGAAAATGCATAACTGGTGTTTTTATTCGCATATTCTGAAAGTATATTTGAGATTTGTTAATTTTCCCTATACAATATGATTAACTATAATGATGAACTTTGAAGAAATTCCATGGGTAAATTCATGTTACTATGTGAAATCAGAGACATTTTTGTGAGCATTTTCAATTACTTAAAAGCTGATTTTCAGAACCTGATGATCGGACTACCATAAGCAAATTTGTTTTAGGAGGTTTTTTATCTTATTTTTGGAGTGATTTTATATGATGGTGAAATTTAGATCGAACTTTACTTTCAACACATTGAGTTTTTATCATTTGAAATGTTTTATTTTTCTTAGCAAGAAAAACATCCTTCTCATTCTATTGAGTATTTTTCATTCTGCAAATAATCATGTGCCAAACTGTACCAAAATGTGCTGTTGATTCAAATACTATATCTATTTTAAATTTTTGTAGGGTGGAATTTCCTTCAGTGCCTCTTATTCCTCTGACAGATCAACACTACTAGTTGTCGATCAAAAAGTATGTTTTCATTAATAAAACCATAATGTGTATTATTTTGCATGCATAAAGAGAAACTTTTCCAGTTTGCTTTTAAACATATAGAAGGGCAATAATGGTTGCCCGCTTAAATTCTTAAAAAAAACTTTAATTCATTTCTTATATATATTTTTTTGTATCAGGAGACAAGCTTCACAGAATTTGCTTACGGGAATGTAAAGGTTTAAGTATCCCTTTTGATAGTAATTATTAGTTCCGGTTTGATTTTGTTTTAAATGAGAAAATAAATATTTTTATCATATCTTAGGAACGAGAAAAATTCATTGATTACTTTGCAACTTTTCTTCTTTTCTTTTCTTAAGGAAGAGTATCGAGCAGATCATTTTTCAAAAACACAGGGTGTGAGTAATGTTTTATACATTTATTCATGATTCCTAAATTTTTAATGCATGAACAACTTTGTTTTCTTGGTTTCTCTTTCTCTTATATTCCTTCTAAGATAATTTTAAAAATTTAACGTACGAAACACAACGTACTTTAATAGCTTTGCTTCATGCAAATTTTTTTAATATGTAATTTTTCTTCTTTATTATCAGCAACCGTTTCCAGTAGATCAACATTTAAAAAGACGTATAGTGAGTAATCATATACATGTATATGAGCAATATTTCAGGGACACATATACACACAATAGTGTTAATATATATATATATATATATATATATATATATATATATATATATATATATATAGAAAGCACAAAGAAATTCACTTTTATAAGGATACCCACTTCCGCCCCAGCCCGGGGTTGAACTCTCGACCTACGGAATCTGTCTCCTAGCAGTACAGGAACAGCGCTATATATATATATATATATATATATATATATATATATATATATATATATATATATATATATATATATATATATAATCTATTTATTATTATTCATCCGACATCGGATTGAAAATTGAAATTTGTTATAACAAGCTCTGTCGTACAGTTTAGCCCTCTGTAAATAAATTATATTTCTCAGATAGTTTTGTAGGTATACCCATTGTATATATATATATCTTTAAAGCAAGATACAATGAATGAAAACGATAATACATACCTACAGCTTTTTAATAAATTTCAGAACAGTTTTTCGCCTTTTATTCCAAAACCGGATTATCCTGGAGCAGAAGTAAGTGCAATTGAATGCTGTCTAACTCATTAAGCATTAGAGAATTAGATAAACCCAACAGCAAGTCAATTAATATGTTTCATTTAAAACTTATTGGCTTCTTTATAAAAAAAAAAAAAAACTGTCTATTGTTTTTGTCGACAAAAACACATTTTGTGAACTGAATGATATTTTTTAAAAAAAAAATATCACATTTCAATTTACAGTTTGTAAACACCAAGATTTACACTTAATTTTTAAAGATTAAAAATATTCATACAATTTGAAATATAAATGCATTCTAGTGAAAAATCTCAACAGATGACAGATTTTATTTTTATCTTATGCCAGTGTCCATTTTTCAACTCACTGTCAATATTATATCCTTAAATACTTCTAATTAATAACAATTATTTTCTTTTACTTTTCCATAATGATTGAAGGAATTTTATGAAGTCCAAATCTGTGCAACACCAAGGGACAAACATATTGTAAGTTCATACATGTACCTCTCTATGACTACATGGAATATGAAGATAACGAACAGTAATCAAGCTCAAATGTCCAGTGAAATAATACAATATATAAGGAGAGCAAACTCGGACATTAAAGAACATAAGAGGTGAGATCAGGTGCCATTGAGGAGTAAGTATCCCCCTGTCGACGGGTCACACCAGTTTTCTCCTTGTAATTCCTCTTGTATGGATTTTTATATCCTTTAAATTGATCTCACTGATAGTAAGTAGTAATATTGCACACACATGTTTAACTTTTCCTACTATATTATTTACCTACTTTGGAAAATAAAAAAGGTTATTTTCATTTTTTTCAAACATTACATACAGACCATACATTCTTCATGGGAGCCAGATCCTGATTATTCAGATATGGAAGTAAGTATATTTTTATATACAACCAGTATTATTAGTTTACGTCTTTGAATATGCACGTCAATTTTCCTGTAAAATTACCTAATCCTGCTGTGGTTTGGATATTTTATATCATTTGAAATAAATGAGTTTTAAAAATATATTTGATATTTTATTGAAGTGAATGTTAACAACTTGAAATGGCAAATACTGAAAATAAATTTAAAGAAATGATTTTATTTTCTTTCGTAGGATGACACAGAATATGTTAATCTCAGGGAATACCACAGTATAGACAACAAGTTTCGAGGTAATTGTATCGACTTATAATACAGAATATAAATTACATATAAAAGAAATGATTTTTTTATGAATCAATTACCCTAGACCATAACCTTACAACGGATTAAAAGAAGATTGCTATTGACATGTTTAAGCAAGAATGAAAGAGAAGTCTGATATTTGTCATAATTCCAGTTATTATTATTTTATTATTACCAAAGAATAATAATTATCAAGCACAGCGTGTTTTTTTTATAAATAGAACTTTACCATGTGTGCAGTCATTTGTTTTAATTTATTAGAGGAAAATAATACATTTTTGATGTTGCTACGCAGCATCAATCAAGAGATATTTACACGTATATCAAAGGAAACAATGTTTAAAATATAATGTTTATATGCTGTTTATAGAAACCTTTATCAACATATATTGCACACATACAGTGATCCTTTCTATGGGTAAATACTTGCTGAATAAGTATATATGTTGTTCCGATTTCAATGTGTAAAAGAGTTTTTCAAAAACGTTATTTTTTACTTTGATTATCTATCATGATTTATCTATTTATTCTTTTTTTTAATCGTCGTTCTCAAACACATGCCACGAGTTTTTATTTCATTCTACTTTTTTTCAAGTTTTAAATGCACACAGTTGTTTGCCTCGGTATGGATACCACAAATGGCTTGTAGACTGGTGTTTAGAGGGACTGGACATGATATATGGTTTTACATTGGACCCATTAAAGAAATGCATTGTAGTAGTCGGAGGTGATTTTAGTGAGGAGAGCAAGTCACTTCTTTATTCAAAAAATGCAGACGGAAAGTGCTACTTAGAATTTACTAAAGGTTAAGCATACTACAATTTTATTTCATTCAATCTCCTGTATATATTAGATGTACTCTAAATCATGTTTAATCCCATGGGCTTAAAATGTAAATTCATCATAATATTTTAACTGGGAGAGGCGTGTCTAAACAGGGCTCTAATTGGCGACTAATTTAGTCCCCATGGCGCCTAAAATTTTTGATTGGCGACTAAAATTTTTCCATAAGTCGCCAAATTGGCGCCCATTTTAAATTGACTTGGCGATCTAAAAGAAGAGGAAATTATTTTTAGCAATGGACATGTCATGTTTTCCTAGGCACGTTTGAGTCCCTATATTCTAATAACTTTTAAGATTGGCGCCTTCGAAAAATGCCTGGCGACTAAAAATTTGCATTGGCGACTAAATATTTTTGATTAGCCGCCAGCTGGCGCCTAAATTTTAGAGGCCACTTAGAGGCATGCGAGATACTTAGTGAACAATAAGTGGAAGCTAAAGAGTTATAAGGTAAAAATTTAGAATTATGCCGATGATAAACTACAAAAATTACAATGGAATCGAAAACCTGATTATCAGTTTTAATTAAATGAAGGTATTTATCGGATAGTAAATGAAAAGGTGACAAATATAAAGTTGAAAGTTTATTCTGTATTCGTGACCTACTTCAGTTCAATATACTAGTATTTCATACCTGCGTAAAATTTAAAGGATACAAATCTCATCAAACAATTTGCATGCACATTTGTCAATGGATAGGCATACTTTAGTAGTCGAATATACGGCTTCAAAGTCATACATGAAAAATTTTGAAAGGAAAGTTATGATCTAAAAATGTTATTCCATAAGGATAACGCAATTTAATAGTTATCTATTCTACAGCTTATGCGTGAGTAGCACATGGCATTAAGATATGTACGGAAAATTATTGAGAGGGAAAATTCAACAAAATGTGTTTAATTTCACCTTTTCAAACAATTTCGTGTGTGATTTTTTGGATTTATTGGATGTCATTTTTTTCCGAATTCGAACAGCTGGAGGTCTTCCTGTTAATGGGTGAACGCAGAATATTAAAATATAGAGAAGACTCTAAAAAATGAAGCTATTGTCCAAAAAAAAAAAAAAAATCTGGATACGTTTTAATAATAATGTTCAGAAATTTAAAATAATTTATTATCTTAAAAAGCTGGACAAAACTATTAACAAACCTAATAAGTGCAAAATACAAAGTGATTTGGGTTTTATTTACCAGAACATTGTCATCGAAAAAAATTCTTTATTTGATTTTTTTTTTCAATTAATGAAAACTGGAAAGCTGTGAGATATCCTTTGAAGAATAACACCAGAAAATACATTTCAAGGCTTAAAAAACACACACACAATCTTCATAAATTTGAATTCAACGAGTTGTTTTTTTTTTAATTTCACATACAAAAAGTTAACAGTTAACAGTATTCTTTTTCATTAAAATTTAAAAATATAAAAACATTAATTAGTTATTTGAACATATCATCTACTAAATGACTGATATTTCTAATTTTAATTCTCATATTTTTCTTTTATTTCAACAGGAATGGTTGTCGACGCAGAGATCATTTTTCTCTATTTTTGACTCAAGATGAAAAAATAGAAAATCTTCTGTCGTTTTTAAATGCGGTAATTTTGTTGAAATACATGTACTATTGTGTAAAGAGTCAACAAAAGGGCTGACTTTCCTCGGGCATGCATATCTTTATTACTATAAATACTCCTAGACAAGGTTTCTAATTTACTAAACACATCTTCCTATGTTGTTTTAGACACATAATTCATGAAAGATAATCAGGTTAAGAAGGAAAATCACAAAATTTAATCTTTCACTAGAAAAAATAGAAATACTTTTCCTGGTTTAAAAAGTATAAACTTTTACAGGATAAAACATATTTGTACTTGTAAAGCACTGATACCTCTGTATGGCAGGTCAAGGCCAGGGTTATGGTTTTTCGAATGTAGGGCAAACTCAAAGGTCAAGGTTCTGTGGTTAAAAATTCTAGTATACCAAGGTCTTGTCACAAGAAATACATGTACATGTGACATTTGAAAGCCTTAGCACCAACCGTTTACAAGTTTTTCAAAAGTTGGTTAAATGCTAAGGTCAAGATCAAAAGGTCAAAGATGAAGGTAGCCAAAGAAATGAAATGTTAAAGCCCTAGCACTAACAAAAGTTATGGCCAAGTTAAATGTTTGGAAAAATTTTGCAAAAGTAGATCATACTCCAAGGTAAAGTTCAAGAGGCCTTAAATTTGATACAAAAATAAAGGTCTTGTCACAAGGAATATGAGAAATATGAAAGCGTAAAGCCTATGTCACATTTAAGTCGATGGTCCGGGACTAAATTTTTCCCGTACCGTCGACTGAAAAAAATAATCGGCCGACACAAGTACCGGGCGACGTAGAGTAGTCACATTATAATTCCTAGGAACACCAATGCCTTTTAAAAGTAAAAATATTTATGTGTTATTGTTCGCTGGTCCGCAGTTTAATTTTCACCGTCGGTCGATATTTACGAAAACCCAATTCCTAAAAGTCGAACGACCAACGACCGACTTTAAAAACTGTCTGCCGGTGGTCGGACGGTGATCGAAGGTTGGTCGACGGACTATTCAACGACTGTTTCAACTCAAGGAATCGGCCACCGACGCAGAAAAAATTATAATTTGGCTGGACTGACACAAAATTGGTCAGCAGACAAAAAAGAGGTAAAAATCGGGCAAGACAACGGCCGATGAACTGCCGATTGTCGCCCGAAAAATCCTATTTTTTCCTTAAAATACCGTCGGCCGTCGATCGCTTTTGGAAAAGTTTTTGCGGACAACAGATTAACAGGCAAACAGATTAACAGCTAGACACATACACTGTACAAGGATTGAAAAAAGCTAATAATATTTGCCCCCGAATATTCGATTACGGGGGTATAAAATAAAGATGGATGTAGGCTTAATACATTTGAAAACAGTGTTTTTCTACATATCAAATTTTGAAACATTTTAACATTGGAAATTACTTTTTTTTTCTTGCAATATTGGCTTTCGGTTTTCAAAACAAGGCACATATTAAATTTGCATTGATTACTAAATACATTCATCATATCACTTGTTAAAATGTTGCATTTTTGTATTAAATTTGATTTAGATTTCCGAAGATTTGCAATATAAAGAAGCTGAATTACATCTTGTTATGCAAATGGATACCAAACCAGAATCAGCGAAAGATATTTCAACTATAATACAAAAAACAAAACAATTTAGAATTCCAAAAGTTGTTCCGATCGCCAAACATAGCATAGCAATTAAACACCATCTAACAATATCACTTGAATTGAAACTGAATGAATATCTTTGTGACATTGAAAGACAGTTATCTGCTTTGCCGTCGGTGGATGGTGTAGCAGAAAGTTTGAAGAAAATAAGGGCGGTACTTGAAAGGCTTAGAAAAGCACAATATTTTCCAGAACAACATGTGGTTGAAAGGCCATACAATAAAGAACAAGTAATGAAAATTATTGAACGGTACGTCTCTCTCTCTCTCTCTCTCTCTCTCTCTCTCTCTCTCTCATAGTAGACTCAAACAGTATAATGTCAATTATATTTTTTTCGACGGATGGCAATAGAATACTTTCAAATATCTACTAGTTAATTGTATCAAAAGCACATTTATGCTCAGAGGTAAATGAACTTTTTCAAATTCCAGTTACCGAGAAAAGATTCTATATCATGGCTTTAATAAAAAAGGAGTCAGAATAGTCACTAATGATGAAACGGTGAAAGAAGATTTGCTAAAAAATTTCTCCAGTGTTGGAAATTTAGAGGTCAATATAACTGTGCAATCTGATTTGGAGATGACACCATTTGCTGACACAGGGATACCATTACATGGGGCAAAATGCGTATATAGACAACAAACTTCTGATTCTTTCTATTTTGATAACGATTATGCAACAACAGGTAGTCTAGTCAAGATAAATGCTTCTAGAATGGCCGCATTAACCTGCCAACATGCCTTTTTTAACCGAGAAAACCAGAGTGTTTTTGTAAACATTAATGGATCGGTTGTTAAACTTGGCAGTAATATGTTTTATCTTCGACAAATGAGTTGCATTCATGACGACATCGCCCCTTATAGACGTAAACGGACCAACAATTCATATTATTGATTCTAATTGTGAGAAACTTTTACTTGATGTGCAAAATGAACCAGCTCCAGCTGACATCTCTCGAAGAGATTTGAATGATTTGGTTGGGGAAATAGTTCACAAACGTGGTGCATGCACTGATTTAACTACAGGAATTGTTATTGAAACTGGCGAAATCCGACATCGAAACTTCCCAGAACGAGCTTCAGCAATTATTGTCGAACCTACGCGACGAAGAGGGCAAGTTCGGTTGTTTGGAGCACCAGGAGATTCGGGTGCGCTTTTATTTCAGCCTTCTTTGTCTCTTGAAAATAAATTAGAGGTTGTCGGTATGTTGTACGGTAGAGCCCCAAAAGATATTTTCCAAGATCCTTGTACTGTAATATGCATTCCCCTGGGAGCAGCTGTGAACAGGTTGATGCGTAGAATCCCTGGACTTCATGAAATTGACTTTTACAAACAATGATATACAAGTGTTGTCGGAAAAATGTTTTTCCAACCCATTTTTCTTTTTGAATTTATAATGCATAAAGATAAAAACATTTTTTCAACTTTCTTTACCCAACTTTGTTTCTTTTATTACGTTATGATAAAGTTTATAATTATTGAGACTTTTCAAATAATCTCGAATTAAATGCGTTTACAAAAATTACTATTTTTCCTAAATGTTTTTATTTTAAACTTACAAGTATACCCATTTTCAAAATGAAGACAAAATGATTTGAATTCAGAATAATTATGTATTTATCAGTTATAGCCGTTGTTGTATACCATTATTTACGTATAAGTTCAAATCAAGAACCTAAAACTTTTCAGTGAATGTTTTGTAGAACATACAAGTTTAACTGC